CTACATCATCTTAATGGGAAAACATATGCAAATGTGGAAGGTGTTAAAGAGGACATTGACATGTTTTTTTGCTTCAGAGCCAAGTGACTTCTTTAATTAGGGCATTAACAACCTGATTGTATGATGGAAAAGCATCATCGATGAGAATGGAGACTGTTTCATTTAATAAATGTTTGTTTTGATATATAAGTTGTTCGAGTTTTTTGATCTAAAAAAAAGCAACATTAATTTCTTGACAACCTAATATATAAAATTTTTTGGGAGGGGGAATGGTTACAAATAACATAAAATTATTATTTTAATTTTTAGGTTTTAAGCATTTCTATATTTTTATGTTTATCATTGTCTATACTTAAATGTTGTTTTGTTGATGCAGAATAAGTTACCATAGTTGTAGTTATTTGAGAAATTTGTGTAAAACTTGCAATTCTACTGTTTTATTAAATACTGGAACAGCAATAGTACATTCTGTTGTTTGTCTTTTGTTTAGTTTAAACAAGATAACTTCAGAATCACAAGTTTTTCTTGTTTTCCAACTTTTCAACAGACCAAACATACAACAGCAGTTGAACATACTCTGTTAACTATTTTAGGTTTGTTGTTCTGGAAATTAAATAGTGGCTTTTTTTGCTTTAGCAGTTGTAGCTTAATATAAGTAGTTTAGATAATATTTTTGTTGAAGTCTCTTGAGTTTGAATATGAGCTAGGTGTAAACTGCTTGTATGAATCTAGTAGGGAATAAATTTTAATATAATAATAATTTCTTAAACCAAACTGTTCTCTGTTGTGGTTTTTTTCACTTAAAATAGTAGTATAGATTTTTTTTAACATTTTACATTAAGTTATATAATGTCTTGGTAAAATATTCAATACAGATTTTTTTTTTTTACAATTGATGTTACAAGTTTTCTGTTTAAATAATTCTTTTTATTATTCTTTCGGCTCTTTGTTGGCTTATTTAAAAAAAATCTTTATTTGCTGAAGTTTTCCTGTTACTTTGTTTTGTCATGTAATAACTATTATTCAAAATTCTAATATACAAGATTTTTAGTTATGACAGAAAACATAGTATTTACAACATGTTCCATTTCAAAGAGCTAAACTTGTCACATATACTAAAACTAAACTTGTTACCAGTATTTTAGAATTAAAACAGTTGACCATTGTGGACTTGAATTCAAGTGGCATTTTAATTGATCCTGAATGAACTATGTTGAAAACAAAATTTTTATCAAGAAGTAATTACTATTAAAACTTTTATTGTTTCTGCTTCCAAAAGTATGTCCATGAATAACATTAAACAGCTGTTAGTTGTGTTGATTTTTTAAGGTTCAGACTGCTGAAAAGTACAACATAGCAGGACTGATTCTGTACCCAGATCCCAAATTATACAATCCACCCTTATTAGGAGGAAAGTCATATCCAGACACGTTGTGGCTTCCAGCTGATGGAATTCCTCATTTCTCGTTACTACAAAATGGTGTTGGTGATCTACTAACTCCAGGCTACCCAGCCTCAGGTAGGATATATAGAAAGCAGTTTTCTGTTGTTTGATTTTCTTAGATAAAGATATATTTATGAAAGAAGTGTCGGATGAATGAATATTGAAAGATACATGAATTCCCCACATGAAAGTAAAATTATCTACACTACTTAACGTATATCTACATGTAATTTCTATCATAGTTGTGAAATCTGTTAGTGATCTGTGTCTTGTTGGGTGAAAATCACATTATTCATGTTGATAGAAAATACCTGTTTTGTTTTTTGTTATATTAAAAGTAAATTGAAAATATATAACTTTTTCTTTGATATAGTTTTTCTTTGTTAATATAGTTCTTACAAAAATCCTCATTGGGTTTGCTCACATACTTATTAATTATTAATGTGGCTACACAAGGGAACATCTGAAGGATGCAGGTGAGGGTAAAAAGTAACTAGCTTGAGTCCTGTTTGATTGAGTGTCCATTAACTCACTGATCAGAAATATAATGTGCATTTATTTAGTCAACCTGTTTGGTCTAATTATTTTTAGTCTTTATTATTTACTCAATTTTTTCACAGAAAGTTAAAATATAATATGGAAAATTATGACTGAACACATACAAATTTAAGGTTTCTTAAATATCTGATATGGCTTCGACACATCAGTAAGAAAATTGTGTGATGCACCATACAACATAAAATAATCTTAATGCATTTCATTTCTTACATTTTCCAGATATTTTAATTCTGAAATGATACCTCACCTCCTTAAACAGATTAGCTATCTTTCTTAGTATTTCTGTCAAAGAGATTTGCATCTCATTAGCCTTGAGACAACTCCTACCTAATTTCATGTGATTTTATGTGAATTGCACCACTGCATGATGACATCATCATCATGGGACAAAAACCCTCCACTGATAGAAAGGTGACACACCTCCATGTTCACTAGCCTCTCCCCTATGCTTCATACTTTTTTTCAGCACTGTAGAGTGCAGTCATGTTTACATTTCACGTCTGTATTCAATTTATTGGGATTTGCTTTGATTTTTGTTTTCTTTACCTTTTGTATCAAAAGCTTTCAAATTTTTATTATGAATTCTAAACTGATAGTAATTTACACTTAATCATGAGCGTGAAACATTGTTCACACTTAGACCTTATTTTTGCTGAGGTCTTTGGATATTCATTACTTGTCAGGGCTGTTGCAGCCATTGGTCAACGTGTCTTGGATTAACACACACTTAATGGGCCTCCTAATCCTGTTTCATTGGCCAAATTTATTTCTCCCCAGCAGGGAATGATCTATTAGATACAAACATCACCTGCATTGCTTTTGGTAGTACTTTTACTTTGCAGTTTCTTTTTGGATTTCCTTCACATGTATGTTTCTTTCTATCTCTTTTGCCTGTGATTTTTAGTATTTTTCGTTTTCTCACTTCGTGACCCACAATTCTTGGGTTTATCTTGTCTTTTCTCCTTGCTATTTATTAAATTTTATACTATTTTCTTTATGTACTAGCTCCTATCTCACGCTCAAATTCTTTGTCCCTATATCTTGAGTCTTTTTGTTAAGTTAGACTTTATCATAATTGATTTACAACACATATTTGATTGATTTGTATTTCCTCTTTTCCTTTTCCCAATTTCCTGTCATTAGTATCTTTCTGGCCAGCATGAGGATTGAGCCCTTTTCCTTCTAGCTGACTTTCTAGTTCTATTTCACATTTTTTGTATTTTTCTCTCTACCTTTCTATATTCCCTCTCCTACCTCCATCTTTTACATGAGGCAATTCTTAATGTTTCTGATGGCTTTTGTAGACATTTGTTTCCTTCTCTGTTTGGCCTCTTAAATTTCTGCTCTATCTTTCCATACTTTGTTCCCCTGCTGTTGGGACTCTTTGGGTCGGGTTACATTTCTCTTTACTGTATTCCTTTCTTCTTTGTGTATACTTATGATTTGTCTTGCTCCCTTTCCTACCTGAAAGTCTTTAGTTGTGTTCTTTTCTCCCTGCTGACCTTGTCAGATGTTATATAACTTCTGTTCTCATTATCTTCCTGGGTTTATTATTTTTTCTCAACCTTACCCTTTACTTCTATTCCTCATGTAGATCAGTCTCCTTCCCACCTTTCCATTTCAGATTCCAGGCCTTTCCTTTTTTTTTCTTCTTTTTATCATCTTCCCTCTACCAGAAATCTCGTTTTTCACTTCTTGCCTGTGACTATCACATGGGGGTTTCATTGGGTACCTTTCATTTCTCCTGCTGTTGGTCTCAATTTCTGTTGACAGTCATTTTCCATTTCTCCATCTTAGTCTCATTCCTCACTCCTCTTCTTTTTGCTTTTCTTCCCATTTCTTTTTCTCCTCCCTCTGACCCCATCTTTGGTCTTTTTCACCTGGTCTACAGTTGGCCATGGTTGATGTATCGGACACCTTTTTACACATCTATCCTCCTTTTGTTTTCTCTGTGTGTCTTTTTTTGCACCTTTCCATTCCTTAATTTTCTCTTTGACTCAGCATCAGCCCTTCTTGTATTTGTTGGTATTATGATAGCCATCACTTGCCATATTCATGACCCTGGGCTAGTTTTCTCTGATTATATTTTTAGAGAAATGCATGCCTTTTTATGATGCTATTGTTTCTCCTCCAAATACTGATGATCAAGGGCATTTAACACATTTGCTGCTTCATGACACAGATGTTGTGTCAATGCAAATATTAGTCAAATTAAAGCTAATACACACACAAATTACATTTTTAGTGTGATTATGCCTCATGATTTCATATTGTCACGAGCTACACTGCTTGTGTTACGATCTTTCTCATTTTCTTGTTATCATTGATGTATATAATTGGTTTAATTTTAATTTTTCTACTTTTGTGTTGTTATTCTTTCCAAAACATACATACCTCTTCTCCCAGTTATAACTATTACTCGACTGCCAGGGTTTCTTCTTTTGCCCATCTAAGTATTGGTCTGATTTTTTTTTCGCTTGCTCCAGTCTTTATAACCCTACTTAATTGCCTTTGGCAATATTCAGATAATGTTACCAATTTTTCTTGACACAGCATCACTAATAGGTTTCCCAGTATTACAATCTTTTGGAGAACATTGTAATAGTAATTTATGATAAATGAAAAAAAATATATATATTTTTTTATACTGATTGGCAAGCCAATTTACGGCATGGATTCCTGGAATATTATTTCCAGTATGGGGGCAAATCAAGTCTATCCTATCCCACCTTTGATATCTAGCGTTACACAACAATTGGGGAGCGGGGGTCACTCTTGTTTGAGACTGTTGATGATCTTATTCGTAGAGAGATGGAGGAATGTATTTGGATCTGTTGTTGTTCTCTAGGGGCTCTGAGATTGCAATTTAGGGTGATCCTTGACATTCTGGAAATAATTTAGATTTGCTTTTTCCTGTGCCTTCTTTTAGTCTGTTAGCTTTTTAGTGGGACAGTGATAAGTTTGCAGACTCATAGCACTGGGGTCTATGGTTCAATTCCCATGGGTAGACACGGTGGATGGCTCAACATTGAATTGCTTTAACAAAACAAATTAACCTCACAAAAGGTTGTTACAATCAACGGTAATCAACAGTATTTAAAGGAAAAAGAAAAATATTAAAAAAAGGCCACTTTGGGATAAACTGCCTTTTATTTGTTTTCTTCTGTTGGTTCTTCCAGAGTGTGATGTTTTGGGCTTTTTCCCGGTTGCTTTTGAGCCTGCTCCATACTTGATGGCTGAAACAATGGATCCAGGAGCACTGCAGGTCCTTGAATCAGGGTTCGTCATTCAGTTCATATCTCACCTCTATTATCTACCCAATCTGTGGGGTTTATGTCTTTTGCAGATTTTTGGGATTTGAAACTTAATTCTAGGGCTATCAGAGTTTGGTTGGTCTGGGGGTAGTGGGTGAGTTGTGCTAGTTCTTCCAAGGTTTTATTCCTGTCGGTTTTTGGGCCTATGCAAACAGTATATTGGGGTCCAGTCATCAATCTTTCTAGATTCTCCAAGGTTCACAAGTTGCTCATTCATTAGTCTGAATTTAAATTTTTTACTGGGATTGTAGATGTCCACGTTTGGTGTAGTCCCACCACCATCATTGTTTGTTGTGCACAAGGGTCAGGTACTGCTGTTCCAGGTTTTTACCTTCGGACTCGCATTGGTTTAATGTGGGTTCTGCCATATTGTACGAATTTTCTTGTCACTTCCATTCTATTGCACTGTGCAACTGGTTTCTGCTGGCACTATTTCATCAATTGTCAGAACATCACATCTTGATTCTACTTTTAGAAATGATTAAGGCAGGCTTCATTTTCAGGGCTGAGACAGCTATCTTGCTTCAATTCCATGTGTCATCAGTCTGGGTATTTTTAATTTTTCCTATCGTTTTTTAGTCAAGCTCATTTGACTCCCATCCATTTCAATGCTATGGAATAAGACGTCAGACTATTACTCACCTCTCCTTCTCCTACAGCACAGATGGTTCTTTCTCTTCTAGGAATGTGGGCATCACTCAAATCCCTTATACCTTTGGGATGAGAGCACAAGAGATCCTTTTAATGGTCTTTATGTGACCAAGTGACCATAAACATCAATTCACTGTTTTCCCAGTTTCCTTAGTCGGGATCATTATTTGATCTTGTGTGGTTGTTAAAGTGGGACACTACTACGATATGAATTCTTCTATTACCACCTTGTCCAGATTTCCATCTTTTCATGAATGCCTTGCTTCATGGATAGGGTGCATATACCAACAATAATGAATTTTAGGGTCTATTGCATGGACAAAAGAGACTTCCCTACACAATATTTTAGTTCTTCTTGCTCTTCAACAGGCAATGAATGCCTCATGGTCTGGTCATATCAAGGGGAAAATCATCAGGCTTTACCCTGCTAGTTCTGTGGTGGTGTCTTTTGTTTCTCATCTAATAAGCACTTGGTCCAGGGTTCCTTGTTTTGGACCTCCTTTCTCGGGACCATTCCTGTCTTATCCTACAAGCTTCCTATGTTGGATGGGTGTTGCCTGTGGTAGCAGATCAACTGTCTCAATCCTCATTGATTCTCCCAACAGAATAGATGCTGCATTGCCATGTCCTGTTGGTTTGTCTCTAATTTTGTAACTCTGATTGGTGGGTCGGCCTCTCATTGGATCACCCAACTACTGGCAATTTGGTGTCCAGTACCTCATCTTTGGGCTTTAGCAATGGATGGATTCTGTAAGGACAGGACGGGATTGCAACTAGGCCTTCTCTCCCCTTCATATGAATGCAGGGTACTAAATATGATTTGTTCCAACCTATTGTCGGGATATTGATAGCACCAGATTGTCTGCCACACCCTAGCTTTTGTTTCTGCAGTACGTTCGAGAGTGTCCACCTCTTCCACTTCTTTTTCAGCTATCCCTGTGGAGGCATTCATGATCTGCCTAGGTACACCCAGCTATCTAGAAGCTCAAGTTTCAGGCATGGAGATTATGCAGTCTTTCACACAGCATTGTGGTTTAATTTCTAACGTTGCCATGTATCTATCTTAGTTTTTGCTTACTCTAAGATGAACATTTGTCAACAGAAATGACATGCATATCAGTAATGGTGTATTGAGAGAAGGTTGAATCCATTTCTGTCCCCTTTACATGAAGGTTTATTTTTCGTGGCTGCTGACCTACAGACATCACTGGTTGAAGTGATTTGCTCTGTTTGTCCACAGACTGCTTTCTCATTCACTTTACATATTCAGACCAGTTCTTCTAACCCAAGACACTGTCAGACAGGAAAGGGGTTAAAGTCCTTTTCACCTGTTCATCTGATCACTATTTCTCACTTCTATGTCCTATCAGATTTCGATCGTTGTCATGTTCAGTGAGGGCCTTGCAGGTTTTGTTGCCTACTCTAATGCCTTTAGAGATGCTAAACAATGCCTTTTCTTCTGGGCTTACTTTGAAGGTGAGGATTCTTCTGCAAATCACATCTAATCAGATTTGTATCATTTTTATTACCTTAGTGGCCTGGTCAAATTGACTGCTGGAGGTGATTGTGCGGACAACTATGTGGACCTCACTCAATTCTTTTATCTCTCAATATTTGCCTGATCTGGCAGTCTCTTCATCTGAGGGTTTTGCCTACCCCCTCTAGCTATCTTTACTGTTTTAGCTAGATTATACAGAGGGGTGAGTCTTTTCATTGCTACCTTTCACAGTCCCTTAACTTGTTTTCACAGGATCCTACTCTGTGGCGAGTGTTGCCCAGGCAGGTGTGCTTTTATCAAGTTAATTCCACACTAGTAACCACTGCCTATCATCAGATTGAATAAATTGAGGTTGGTTTGCTTTTAAAAGTTTAGGGATCTTGGTTCACCTATTGCATTGTTTCCAGAGCACTGTTCCTCAAAGCTCCCTAATACACATCCCCCCCCCCTCCCAGATGTTGGTAGGAGTGGTACCAGCTTATGCATGAGCCTATTCATAATTCTGGTTCAGATATGACACTCTACTGGTTGGGGTGTGCATGGCTTTTCTGTTTCATCAATATAGATTCAGTACATTGTTCATGGAAGAGGGTGGACTATCTCCTCATAATTCAGACTGAGTAGTGGTCCCATCCAGGGTCCTTGTTTGAGCACAGTTGTTCCATGTCAACCCCTTAATTTCATGATGGTTCTAGTTGTTTCATACTTTGGTGCTAATGTTTGACACTGTGATGGTTCTAATTGTTTCATGTGGTGTTTCTAGTTGTTTTATGTGGTGGTGCTAATGTTTGATGTGGTGTTTCTAGTTGTTTTATGTGGTGGTACTAATGTTTGATGTGGTATTTCTAGTTGTTTTATGTGGTGGTGCTAATGTTTGTGTTGGTTCTAGTTGTTTCATGTGGCAATACTAATGTTTGATGTGGTGTTTCTAGTTGTTTCATATGGTGGTGTTAATGTTTAATGTGATGATTCTAGTTGTTTTGTGTGGTAGTTCTAGTTGTTTCATGTAGCAGTGCTAATGTTTGATGTAGTGGTGCTAATATTTGACACTGGTTCTAGATGTTTTGTTTGACAGTGCTAGTACTTTGTGGTGATGCTAATGTTCAACACTATATTTCTAAATGTTTTGTTTGACAGTGCTAGTTCTTTGTGGTGGTGCTAATGTTTGATGTGGTGGTTCTAGTTGTTTCATGTGGCAGTACTAATGTTTGTGGTGGTATTTCTAGTTGTTTCATATGGTGGTGTTATTATTTGATGCAGTGTTTCTAGTTGTTTCATATGACGGTGTTAAAGTTTGATGTGGTGTTTCTAATTGATTTCTGTGGCAGTGTTAATGTTTGATGTGGTGGTTATAATTGTTTCATGTGGCAATGGTGATTGTATGATGTGGTGATTTTTGATGTTTAATATAGTGGTTCAGTTATATCGTGCCTTGGATAATCTATTAAATTTTTCAAGTAATATTGTGTTATCTAGTAGATGTTAAAAGGTTTCACCATTATCCATTTGAGTAAAGATTTCTGATACATCATGTGATATGGTTTTAATATGTCATTAAGAAAGATGATAGCTAATGATTCTAGTAACTTATAATGTAGAAAAGTGGATTTGAAATGTTGTTATTTACTTTTCTTACTGAAAAGCAGCATAAGACAAGTATTTTCACCCTTTCTCTGATTTAATAACATGCTTGTTTTATTGGAAGATCAAACAATTTAAAAAGTTTTAGGTACAACTCAACCAGATTTCTAAACAACGCATGAAGAAGTACTGTTATTGGTTGACAGACAGCCAAAGCTAGAAGGCTTGTTTATTTTCAGTCACTTTTACAAAGAAGTATAAAAGACACCTCTAGCAAGAAATAAATTTTTTTGTCTGTTAGTATTATCTCACTCCTAAGAAGTCAGTAAAAATTGATGTGAAGATTTGTATTGGGCTATTAAATTGTTTTGTAATGATGACTGAAGGAAATCTTTAGGGATTTAATTATATTTTTATTTGTGAATATATTGTCTAAGGTGTTGATTTTTTTCATGTTACTTGGTGCATTGGAGGAACAGAAAAAAACTTCCTTTTGTTTCAGAAACAGCCTACAGAATTGAGCAGGACCAGTTAAAACTACCAAAAATTATAATCCAGACTTTGAGCTATGGAGATGCATACCACTTAATTAGGTAAAAACATTTCTGTCTATCAGATCTTAAATCAGTACATAAGTAAACTAAAATCTATGTGGATTAGAATGTGTTGGTTCTTCAGTTGAGCTTCCTCCCTGTTAACATGTATCTAAAGAGATCTTGAATCCCAGTGTTTATAAATGTAAAAATAAATAATTGTTTTAATCATTTCAACCAATAAAATATAACTCACTTTATTACTTACAAACACATAAAAACCAGTTGTTTGTTTGTAAGATCTACACAGCTGATCAGTATATTGAAACTTAAAAAAAAAGCATTATTAGGTTTCTTTTCTCACATAAGCCTTTACGTTAAGTTGTTATTTTCAACAGTAGTGCACATTTAGCAACACAAAATTGACAAAAGATACAAAAAAGGCTAAAATTAATAAACAAATAATCACTAGCCACATATGTAGAGAGTTATCGATTCTATCACAGATTCCTCAGAAAAGTTAATACCAGTTTAAGCAAATACTTGTGTAATATTGTTTAGCTATATTAAATAGCAGGAAGATAAAGAAAGTTAAGTAAGGAAGCTAATGTTTATGTACATGCAAAGTAACCAAGTATATAAAGTATAAGATGCTGGTTCAAAAACTTGTAAAATATACATCCTGTAGTTTAATGTAATGCAATAGAAGAAAACTACTAAGAGTGTAAAGAAGTTGTCAGATAACAAAGCCACATCACTCACAAATGTAGTCAAATTAAGAAGTTAGCATTTGGAGATAATAAGTATATAGTAAAATCTTTAAAGCTGTAGCTTACTTGAATTATCTTGTTAGTTAAGGGATGAATACATTAAAAATCAAAAAGTTTATTAAAAATTTAAACTGGAAAGTTTTTAATTAATAGCCTCAAACTAGTTTCTGTAAATAGAAAAATTCTATCCACAAGCAACTTTCACCATGAATATCTATAAAAATGTCATAAGCTCCAATTTTTAAACTGAGATTATTCAGAAATTTCCACAAATTTTCTTGCATTGAGTTTCTATCTTGATTTTTGGTTGTTGTATGTTTGTCTCTAGTTCTCTGGCCGGAGAAGATGCTCCAGAGTCATGGCAAGGAGGGTTCAACTTCACCTACAAGCTTGGGCCAGGTTTCTTGAATAACAAGACAAAGGTATATATGGAAGTGAACAATCAACAAGTGAAGAAAAAGATTAGTAATGTTCTGGGTTACATCACAGGAAAAGTAGAGCCTGGTAGGTTATGAAAAATTAAAGAAAAAGTGCAAACTGTTATGTAAATTTCAAAAATGTATTTCCTGTATCAAAGAAAAACTAGAGCTTGGTACACACATCAAGTACATAATTGTTACATCACAGGAAGAGTAGAAACTGACAGCTTATTATCAACAAATAAATACTGAAGATGAAGATGGTTGATAAAACATAAAACATTTTATTTACAAGGTTCAAACGTTTTGGAATAACTTATTCCATCTTCAGCAAAATCTGGAAATTGTGTTACAAAGATGATTATTACTAAAATTATAATATAATAACATAATCATTAGTTTACTTAGTTATTAAGAAAAGTGCTAAATGGATGGATGAGACAATGTTTATATATGTATATATATGTTCGGGTGGAAGGAGATCTTGATAACCCTTTTCCACCACTAGATTTCAAATGTTTGGTTCTTCATTTCCATGTAGTCTCTGTTACAAATACGGAGATTCTATGTTTTTTTTGCACATTTATAATGGTTTTTCAATCACGTTACTCCATGGACAGTTTCCACCTTATTTTGTTGGGAGTTTGATCGTCTAATGTACGAACTTTTGTTGGATCTCGGTTCGTGCTTCTTGGTTCACTATTTATCATACAGTCTACCAACTTTAGACAGATATGTTTTACATTTTATTGTTAATGTTATTATCTGTAATTATTTGAATTCCATAATATATGCTTATTTGGATTAGTTAATACTAATTTATGGTATGATTCAAAATTAGTCTTCTTTCCTTTTCTTCTATACCATTCGATTAGGCTTAACACAGTATTTCCTTCATTAGTTTAACTATGTTATTTCATTTTGCAGGTAGCTTTCTTTTAGCTTGTTCCATTTTATCTTCTTCAGTAGAAAGTGTTCTGCAGCTAATCTGCAAGTCAGGGATTTCCCGCAGATCGAACCCATGTGTCACAGGTGCAGAGTTTTTCCCCTGATTTTTCGACCAAGGCTCTTTGGTCCCCTTGAACTAGGGTTATCACGCAGCCTTTTCCCATACTTTCATTTCTTTCCTGATAATGTGGAGTTTTTATCTCACTTATCCATTTTATGTTCCTTCTGGATTAGTTGTCCTCCCTGACTGCCTACCATTCCGACCTGAGATATTAATGTGATCTTTTATTCCCTCACTTTACCTTCGTTGGCATCATTTTCCTTGTGTTTTGTGTTTCTCCTTCCCCTTTAAACATAATTTCTTCTCCTCTATGCCTGTGTACGTCGGAGGTCAGATATGTTTCCCATGATGTTTTTCATACATTTTCCCCCACTCTCTTTCTTATCATTTATCCAGATCTTCCTTCCTACCTAAGGTGTTGGTGGCTAGGGGAGATAACTCCTCCTTTTACCTAATTCTCTTCCTTTTATTTCCCATCTTTGTCCTCATCCCGATCCAGATCGACTCCTATGTGTGATCTGTGCTCTTTGTTGTTCTGTTGCCCATATGGCTTCTTTCTGTGGTGCCTGCCCTCGCCTCTTTATACCTAGGCAATTTTCCTTGAATCGTGAACTTTCTCCTTCTACCTTCACCAACTGTGTTCAGCTTTTGATCCTGTTGGCTTACTCCCCTTTATTGTCTTCCCAGACTTTGTTTCAGGTGTCTTCTCATCAGAATTGACATCCTTACCTTTTTCCTGGTATCTGGTCTTCATTGGCTATTGGAGGAACTCCTACATTCGGGCATGAGGATTACACCTAATAAGTTTGTCTCCCCTTATCTACACCATATCGTGGATTTTTTTCCTTGTTGGGTTTTCGTCCACTGCCTATGACTGTTTTTCATACTTCAGTGACTCTGTGTAAATTTCTATTCATTATTTATTTTCTTTCAGGGGCCCTTGCTTCATTATTCACCATTTGGATCCCACTTCATGGTGAGTGGAACCTGACCAGGTATCCTTCAATTCAAATCCACACTGTACAGCCATGTTGTATTGTGCTCTCTTCTATGGCTTCGCAATGCTCACCATTGAGATGAGGTGTTTCACAAGATTGCTTGAAGGTGAATAACTTCATGATGTTTTTGCTACATAAACATGCCCGTACCAGACTGTACCAACCATGGACTGCATGGGTAAAGCTGCCCATCCCTGCCATGCCTTGATTGAATAAATCAGTATGGTCTGCTTTTCAAAATAGGGTTTCATGGTCACCCATTGCACTGCATTAATAACGTTTCTCGGGACTATCCACCGCGTATTCACCCTCCTTTTTTCTAGTGGAGTGTAGGAGGTCTTACCGCTTTCCAGTTCCAAGCCACTGGGATGGTTGACCGTGGAGGCACCCTCCTGAATGGGTTCCACAAAAAGATGGCTATAACCATTCAGTCGAGGGTAGGGCAGTGGTGTTCTGCTGATGTAGATGAAACGTGGCCCCCAGAGGAGTTGAGCCACCACCTTGCTGGATGACATGACCTCCTAATACCATTTACACAATCACTGTAGTTGAGAAATCAAAATTGCAGTTCACCCCTTTGATTGGGAGCCCTCATCTTACCACCACGTGGATATCTGTACCCAGTGGCCTGATGTTGGACTTAGAGTGAACCAATCAACATAAGCCCTCATGCAGGTTTTGGGTTGTCTATCTTCCTCCCTCAATTTCCCCTGTGTCTGTTGTGGGTCACAGTGGTGTTACATGGGATTGTTCTATCCTTGGCTATCCCTCATTCTCTCTTCTTATGGGGATGTTATTGCCATTTGTAGGGTCCTGGCTTGTTTAACGGTTGGAGGAGTTGATTTCATGCAATAAACATCCTTTTGATACTGGATGTCAATTTTCAGGATCGATAGCTCAGAGCTAATCCTTGTGTCATACCTGGGAATGGGAATGGTTCTCAATTTCCTAGTTCTTGGGTTTGAGGAGAAGACTGTATGATCCTCATCCTACCCTCACGTGGATGTTGGTTCCCAGTGGGGAGGTTTTGGATGTAGTTGACTTACTGAGTGCACTGTGCCCTAGCCACTCTACATCCAGAGGTGTATCCTTGTTTACCTACTTTTCTCATTGTGGGATTGAGTTACAATATCTTTCTCTGGTTAGGATAACTTTTTTACCACATTTTCTCTCGCTCGGATGTGCTCCTCTCATTTTCCACCCTGATATCTTGCACATTTCACACATGGGCGAAGAGCATACCTGGCTCAGAAGTGGTGATGTTCCCCTCTTTAGATCTGACTCTCTCATCTGCAGAAGTATCCTTCAGACACTTTTGGGGGATATATCTGTTCTTCCATTGCACCGGTTCCTCCTTCTAATCAATGCGGGATTCTAGCTAATCTTGTGAATGAAGTACCTTATTGGAAGCTATAATTTTCCTATACTGAAAATGTATTTCTGATAGGTACTTCCCTCTTCTCACACTTCCCACCCTTCTTCCAAACTTTGAAGTGATAGTTCAGTAGAGGTAGTCACATGCATCATGTGAGTGTGCTATGCTCATATTGGTGGGGAGGTGATGCATGATGATTTACACGAGAGAGAGAGATATTGGAATCACTTGATTCCAATAGGGGGGAGCAGAAGGCTTGTGGCATGCATAAATAAAACGTTTGCATATAGGGGACAGCAATGAATGAGATTAGCTATTCTTATGAGTGGAGGGAAGTACCTATTGGAAATACGTTTTCAGTATAGGAAAATTATAACATATCATTGATTAATAATTTGTCATTATGAAAGTGAGGAAATTAAAATACTTTAAATTACTAATAAAAGTTCTGTAGCATTTTCATGGTTATTCATGCCCGACTTCTTGTGCTGAAAAATCTCCTTTATTAATACTTCCATATGGATACCATTTTCTGCACTAATAAAGCAATTTTTAATATTATATAAGTATTAATTTCTTAATTTTATAAGGTAGTATTTAAAAAAAAATCCTCAATTTTCCCTGGTATGAAAATTGTGACAATTACATTCTAGGTCTTCCCCCTTCTCTAACTTATTTACCACCTCTCTGAATACTATGAAATTTAATGTAAATTACTCATTATACCCAGTTAGTACCCAGGCAAAGCATAATTTTTATAGCTTTCAATCTTGTTTGATTATAGAGCCATTAATTAGAAAATAAGACCCCATTTGCCATTCATACCTGTTACATCCTTTCTTTCACAAATTACTGATTGTTTTACACTCTATTATTTATAACCAATAGAAAGACAAAGTTTAAATCTGTCAAATGAAATATATTACATTGTTTTCAGTATAGAGTGTTGTCTATTTTATCTTCAGTTTGAAAGTTTCTTTTGCAGTGGTCATGTCGACAAGCTTAAAGTAAGGTTTAAAAGCTCTTATATTATAGTTAAAAAGCCATATAAATTATGATAGTTATAGGACATTGTTTGCTTTGCAATTCAACAAGCATGTTGGTGTTTTGATTGTTTGTTTACACAAAGCTGTCTAGTGGGATAATAGTTTTTGTCATATTTTGAGAAGGTTTAAAGTACAGCTGTAAAACAATAAGATAAATGAGATGCAATTTTGAAAAGTACTAACTTTGGTTGTAAGAATAAATAGTATGTTACAATGTGCATTCATTTTAGAAAGAAAAGTGGTAATTTAGCTTTATTTTCAAATTTCAACTTTGTTTTATCTTTCTGATTTCACTACAGTTAGTGTCAAAGTAGAGAAAATAACAAATAAAACAAAGTTTTACTGAAAATAACTTTTAACATTCATTGAGATTATGCAAATGAAATTTGAAAACTGTAAGATTAAAAACTTTTTTGCTGTTGACTGTTGGTAAACACTTAAGTCTAGTTTTAATGTTATATTTGGTGGGAGAAACACAAGTCATATCGACTTCACGTTGCCTATGGCTGGGTGAGTTGGGCAGTTGTCAACGAACATGAGGAATTTTCTTACATTTGAATTACTTATCTTTGTGTATCCAATCTCTGAATATCCAACCATGCTTTTCTGTTTGCCTGATAATTAATGGATAGAGTTCACATTCTTTAAACACCTCGGCTTCTTTGATTTCCCTATGATGAATGGTGTGAGCTTTTCTGATCCATTCATATTTGCACACAACATCACGGTGATTCTTTCTTTGCTTTTCTTTCCTCCTGTCTTCATTTTTTAATGTTAGTCTCATCAGGCATCAAACAAAAAAATAACCTAGTTTCATGAGCATTAAAAATATTTCTTGGGGCATATCCTTTGACTAATGCCGGTAATGACATTGACACCCAGTCATCAACAATATCATCACTGACAGCAGCAGCCTCACCATACACTGATTTAAACATGATACTGTGTCGAGCCAACCATTGCTGGCTTTGAAGTCGCGATGATTCAGTTTTTGTCCCAGTTCTCAGGCTTTTGTTTGGAGAATGGGTTCACTGATCACGATATTCATAAATGTGCATTGGTGAGGGGCTAGGTGGTTAGGGCGCTCGACTCGTAATGGTTGCGGATTCGAATCCCCGTCTCACCAAAAATGCTCGCCCTTTCAGCCGTGGGGAGTTATAATGTGATGATCAATCTCACTATTCATTGGTAAAAGAGTAGCCCAACATTGCTAAATTAGGGACAGCTAGCGCAGATAGCCCTTGTGTAGCTTTGCACGAAAGTCAAAAACAAAAGCATTGGTGAGCCATTTTAACAATGCTTGCTCAATATCATTGACTGCTGAGAACTGGAAACATTTGCAGTTTGGTTTGAGTTTGTTGCTTCATACATTTTCAAAACATCAGACTTTTTCTTCAAAATGTATTTCACATCGAATTTTCTACAGATGAAGAATACTGGACTTGATAGCTTTGATCATTTGTACTTTGCAGTCCAATGATAGAGCATGCTACTTAGATGATGCATGAAGTACTGTTTCGTTGACGAAACTGGTGCAATTTACCTAAAATCGTAGCGCCACTAGTTCACACTTTATTCACAAATTTGTTTTATTCCCAAGTAGTTTTGCAATAACTAATTATGTTGAGCCTTCAAAATGTCCACAGTTAAAACAATGGCTTCCTAATGGGGGGATTATGTTTGGCTCATTGTATTAAAAATTTAAATGCTTACGTCTCACCCTGTCTCATGCCAATGCGAAGCAATTAATCCACGTAGTCAGTCGTTTTATGGTTTCCCAGCTTGTGTTGTATGTTTGCTATATTTGTGAAAAACCTATTGTTTTATTCCAAAAAACAGTTTGCTGTAAATGGGGTTTCTCACCTCTTTGATTATTCTTTATTTTGTACTTTAATATATTGCCATTCACCCATTTGTTAGATTTTTTATTATAGATTACACGAACTTATTGTATTAAAATATAATGAAATTGTTTTTTTAATTTTATTCATATTACCAATATGATACTTGTTACAAGCACTTGTGCAATGAGTTGTGTTAACCAAGGAATGTTCCAGAAAGTATGTAATTTTATTAAATAATTTAAAGTTAGTGTATAACTTTTCATCATTATCTCTTTCTGAAATCTCCAATATTAGGAAGAGTTTAAATGTGTAAATGTGGTTGAAAGAATGTAAAATCCAATGTTCTGTATTTTTGTACAAACTTGCAAAGAAATATATTCAGTGAATAAATATAAATATTACTCAACAAATTTTTTTTCAGATCGGTATGTCATAATTGGGAACCAACGGGATGCTTGGATTAGAGGAGCTGTGGGTGCTTCAGGAGGAACAGCTGTACTTATGGAATTATCACGCGTGTTTGGACAGTTACTTCAGGAAGGTTTGTGTTTCATTAAATCATGAGCTTTGTATTCTTCCTTTGTATATAATTACTGAACACTGAATTGTGTTTTAAGCCTGAAAAGCCATGATATAAAGGCTGGAACACTATATCAGCTTTAACTTGAATAGAAATTATTTATTTGATCTAAATAATTTGTGTTAACTCTTTCAACCCAGGCTTGGTCCCTGGGACTGACTTCATAACCATTTTGGGCTTGTTATAGTTTTCATGCTATAACTTTTAAATTAGTAAGCGAATGTTAACGAAATTTGGCAGTTTATCAGTAAACATTACAATACTTTCATATACAAAATATCTAATTTTTTTATTAAGTCTTAAGGTTTGTAAAGCAATGTTTCTCTCATGCCTTTTTTTCTTTTTACATCTTGCCTATCTATCATGCAAAATAATTTTCATTTTAAGATTAAAAATATTTTTATGCATCAGAAAATTTTGAAATTTCACATGCTAAATTTTTCTAATGTCTGGATAATTATCAAACATTTCTTAAGACAAAAAAATTATATTTTATCTGTAATTTTCAGGAATTAATCTCTGTATGGGTTCGGTAAATTTGACCGATCTCGCAACCACCATAAAAAATTAGGAAATAAACATAAATTATGCCTCTTGCATTCTAGAATGAACACAGATTATAACACGAAAGCTTAAATGTTTGGATGAAATAGCTTAAATCTCATAACATTATACACTTTTATATATTTATTATTTTTATTATATTGACCTTTTACCCATGCCTAGCTAACAATACAGAAGTTACAATGACGTGGCTCACGTGCACTCGTGACCATATCAAATAACATAAATGTGTCCTTTGGTCTATACAAAGTAACTTGTCTTGACTGTGTTTTAGTCGACTAGTATTTTGTAAAATATAGTCACATTTCAGTTATTATACATTATATATGTATATAGATTATTGACTATTTTG